ACACAAAACCACTAATTGCTGGCATGCATCATCTTGGCTGTCATTTTATTTCCACTCCAGATGCAAGAAAGCTCAAGGATCAGGTCAGACTATTGAACTAGCATTTAATCAACCTTGAATATTGGTTGAAAAAGAAAATTATGGTATAGATAAAATATAAAAATGTATATAGGGATTAAAAAGTTCCAGTTTTCACTGTTCATATTTGAAGACATAGGAATTAATGTATTTAAATTATTTTTTCAGATAACAATCATTTTTATTAGGAATGTGAAGGAATAAAAGTCTGGAAGAAGGGCAGTAAGTCTCAGAAAATTAATTGATAATAAACATAGGGAAAGGAATAATCAGGTAAGGGAAATCTAAAAAAGGCAACACTGAGTTCCCTAGTTCCCAACACCACACAAAAATCTTATTTGGAAACTCCCAGTCTACCTGTATTTTAAAGTCTAGTTTGCTTCTAAGTATTAGCAGAGAAAAATTCTGAAAGCAAGCTCAAATATATTCTCAGAAGTTATTAAACAGGCACAAACAAATATTGGAAAGTATAGTTTTCTCCAAGAAATGTGATTCTTCCACCTTGGCCCTACTTTGTTTTTGCCTTCAGTTATTTATACAAAAAAAATTGCACCCCCCCCCAAAAAAAAAAAAAAAAAAAATCTGGGTCGGTTCTTACACTGATGTAAAAACATGCTGATGTAAACAGAGCTGTGATAATTTATATTAGCTGTAGAATTTTCTCTTATTAAACTCAGTTGCTGCCAGACTATTTTGTATAAACAGCTCTATAAACAGATATCTGTTAATCCAGCATTTTAACATGAAAGAAGTACCAGTGTTACTTTAAGCTTGAAACTTCAAGAACAAGAAAATCTCAGAAATGAGTGGAATATTTATCCAACATATTCCAAGTGGACATCATAAGAAAATATTTTGGAATAAACACATATTTAAACCATAAATCCTGATGAATTACCACAAGGGATTTTTCACAGAGAAGAGCTGCAAGAGGTGGGTTTTTTTTTTTTTGCTGTTGGCAAAATAAATCCAATAGAATAGCTGCTAAGAAAGCATTTAATAAAGGTCATACTTGAGCCTTCACAAACAAGAATTTTAATTAATGCCCTAGCAGTCAGCAATTAAGTTTGCACATCTGATAGCTTTACAATATAGACTGGAGAACTGCATTAAACTACATACATTTACATGGCAATTGCTACGGTCAGGAGATCACTTTTTGGTGTTTCAGAAAGCCAATGACCTTGTACAGAAACCAGGAAATGTAAAGGTGCTCCTGCCCTGGAAGATTCCGCTGTTCCCTGTAATCATATCCAGTGGGTGGATGCTGGGGCCATACCAGACATTAACTTAAGAGCATCCCTCAAGAGAGAGAGTAGAAACTTAAGATAACATTAGAAAAGATTCTTCAGTTAAAGCAAACCGAAGCATATGGTAACTGTTTAAACCTAAAACCTAAAGGCATCTCAACTGCCAAGGTATAAGCCAGCTTCATTTTTTTGCATAACCAGCATGAGACAGAGCCAGTCCTTTAATAAGGGATGGATGTAGCAGTTTCAGTCTCATTGTCCATTTTCAGATTTATCTTAAATGACAACAAATAACAAACACAGCGAGCAAAACAGCATCTGAACTGAGGCAGGTAAAACCAGGCACTACCAGGACAAATTTTTCTACTACTTGCTAACCTGCCATAACATTTTCACTACAGCACTAGTAGTCAGCTTGTCCTGTCACTAAAAGTTACAGGCTAAAAATCTGAAAAACCCGAGACGCATTCACTCAGGATACTCACAGCACCAAAAAACCCAGGACTTCAGGGTACTCCAGTAGTACACAAGGCCTATGGCACTTCACTGTAGTGTAGGGTAGGAAACAGGTGGCCAAGGTTAGGGATAAACTAGGTCCCACAGTAATTCGGCTTGAGCAATCCTTTTTGTTCATTCCTCGCACAGCTGGGGATGCAGATTACCAAGCAGAGTTCGTGCAGGCCCACCAGCAATTGCATGACAGCCCCTCTGCACTGACTCTTCAGTGAGTACCCTGGCTTGCCCAGCTGTAGAAGACAACTAAGAAACACCATACTCTGTTTCTGCTCTGCGATACCTTGTAACATCTTCGCACAGCTTCATCTGCTCCCGTTTCCTTTTTTCCCAGAGCTTTGCTGTGCTAAAGAAGGGTCTTTGATTTTCTGATGCTTAGCTCAGTTTTTAGTCATGCCATGCATTCTTCCATCTCTTTTGAGATGTTCTCCCTTGAAGGTGCTCTAGGGGTCTCTGGGGCCTGAGAGACCTGTTGTGCAATACGGGTCTTACACGCTCCTTAAAAGCTAGTTCTACCCTGGAAGCAGTAGTGCGAACAGGCTAGTTCACTGTCTAAGCCCACGCAGACACGGTTCTCCTCCCTGAGAGTTCTGGTTGAACATTTTCCGACCATTTTTCCAGACTGCGGCATTAGCAATTCACTTAACATAAACTAGTGAAGAGTGTACCTCAATACCTCATTGAATAGTGTAGACTGTACTTGCAGACTTTAACCAAATGTGGAAGGTGACCTACAGGTAGTAGTAAACTAAATTGATGGTCATTCCTGAGCAATTGCATTGGTACATCAAAGTGGACTGGTGCTGTAATCACACTATCTTTATAAATATTGGATTGCATTGTAATTATTTTAGCAAAATAGTGAGTTACAAGCCTAGTATTTTTGTCAGTAACTGTGCGGAAATAAGAAATAATCTGCCACTATTCAGCAATTATGTTACAAACTGAAGCGCAGAGCGCCCTCGTTCCTTCAGTCTTACTTAAACAGATTACAGTCAGTGTTAACACAACTGTGAACACTGACATGGGAATAAGAACTAATACTGACTGGGAAAGAACTGACATATTAAAGCATACCTGTGAAGTAGAGGAGCCTGAGAACACCATATTTTGGTTTTGCCAATGCTTTGTTTATCGGCAATTTTCTGGCATGGGGTATATTCCAGGAATATAGAAGTTCTTGTGATCTTCAAGAAGAAGGGAAACAGATCCAGGGAAATTATAAACGTCCAATTTAATTCAAGTTATTTCAAAAACGTGTGAACAAATTAGTCTTCCTTGTCTGAGTCAATAGAATAATAGCTAGGTAAGTAACAGTCAAGGATCTGTCAAGAAGAAATTGTGCCTGACCTGGATATTAGAAAGAAAACTGACCTGTTTTCTTTCCAAGATCAGGTATTAGGGTGGTACACATCATGTATCTTGACTTGAACAACTGTATCAGATGTTACATAAAAGCTGGGAGAATGCAGTCTAAATAAAACCACCATAAGACAGAGGGAAATTGTGCTCAAGAGAGTAATCAATTGTTCCCTGTCAGAGTGAAAAGAAGTATTGTATTAGATTCCAAGAAGTAAGGAAAGGCCAGTATCATACAGCATTTTCAGAAATTATTTACAATAATTAGAGAGCACATTTATTAAATTTGCAGAGGACATCTGGCTGGAAAATGCTGCCAACTTGTTGGAGGACAGGGTTAATGTACAGAGCAAAATTAGAGAAACGCCTTAAGGGGGAAAAAACCTGTTAGACACCAAGTTCTGACACTTGGGTAGGAATAAACAATACGGGACAGGGAAAAAGCGGGCTAAGTAACAGTTCTAAGATCAAATCTGATAAATAGTAGACAAAGCAGCATGGAAGGGAAAAAAGAGAAATTATGATTGCAATCTGAAGATGTTAACAATATCAAGCTGTGATGGCAAAAAGTGTCATACTGTGATGTGTAACCGCAAACAGAGCTTGCAAATTGGATGAAAAAAAAAAAAATCCTACTGCTGCTCTTGGTTTTTGTAAGACCGTAGTCTGACTGCCACGTCTAGTTTTTCTAGACAGATCTAGTCCACTTAGTGAGAGTTCAGGAAAGAACGAGAAAAAATGATGAGCACATTACAAACAAGGGAAGACTGCAGGAGCTGGGGTTGCCTAATACACTGAAGAAAAGAGTAAGGGGAGGTTCAGACAACATGCTTTGCACATATAAATGTTAGCTGCCATAAGTAAGAAAATAAACAGTTCTCCACGTTAGTGGTGGTCATGGAACAGTGGACATAACAGTCCTCATAGGGGATTTCCTTTGTATATTAAGACTTTCCAGCAGGACAGGTAGGTAGAAGCTGGTTAGTTTGCCTAAAAATGTTGTGAAACCTAATTTTTTTTTTTTTTTAAAAGAAATAAGTTAGACAATAACTGTAAGAAGTGATTTACATATAGATGACCTTGGTTTGGGTAGAATAATGATTGGGTAGTTTTAGCGTGATGCTTCAATGTAATAAATATTGCCATACATAATTTTAAAGATTTGAACATGCTACACAGAAAAGTAAGTATTCAGAAAATGCCCAAAGTTATTCGGAAACGAACTTTGAACCACATACTTAGCTCATATTGCAAGTTACAGAAATGTAATGCTTACTTGCAAAGTTCCACACGACTGAATTTAAAAAACCAAACTTCCCCAACTATTCGTATCCTGGTCATGATTTCTACATAATGTTCTTGCACCTAAACAAACAGTTTAGCAGCAAACACAAGTAATTTATTTTACAGCACTTTTTTTTTCCCCCTGTATTTCCTTCAAAATTCTGAAGTGATTAGAAGATAAAAGTTTTTACATGAACTGATGACTTTAAAGAATAATGCTTCTAAATAAAAAAATGCTTCACATCTTCATATGTATCAGTTCCATAAAGAATATTCCAAGACATATTTTACATTCAAGTCAGTAAGACAGAATGTTATAATAAAACAAATCAGCTTGCAAATACATACAGTATTACAGACTAAGAATTAAAATCCATTTATCCACCATCACAACAGTGAATTGCAATGTATGATGACATGAAGTTTAGTACCCAAACCAGAAAAAAAAAAAAATTAGTAACTATAAAATAATTTAGCTTTATTTAATAAAATCCTTTGATATTCTTACACTCCAAGAAATGCAGAAACAAACACTTCCAGATTTTCTTTCATGTCAAATGGGAACATTTAGCAAAGGTTTTCTTTTTCACTTCCCTGAAGCAAGTTAGGGTAAATGTTGGACATACATTTTGAAAATTATTATGTATTGCAATATACCAATATTGTCTTTCTGATGATATTAAACAGTAGCACCATCTACTGGTCCAGAAGATCCTTTCAAACTTTAGAAAAAGCTGTGGAGAGTGATCCAGCCAAAACGATGCAAAACGCTACTGAGAGTAACACGTAGTTTTTCAGTCCCTGGATAGCGAAAGAGAGAGAAAAAGAAACATATCATGTTAATAGGTACCACTTCACAAAAAAAAAAAAGTAAAGTAAAAAACTAGGGTTTTGTTTTATGACAAAATTATGAGTCCATTACATGAAATGGTAAATTTTATACCATTTTATTTCATATAATGTTTGTAACATATTTGTTGTTCAAAGCAGTTTAATACAAGTAATCCATGATGCCATACACTTAGTAAAATATTCACAGAATTAATTCAGCAATTTCTAAACGTACTTTTAAGGGCCTTTGTCTATTTTCAGATTATTTTTAAGCAGTAAGCACTTATGCAGAGACTATTCTAAAATGTATGAAAAGGATGAAAGATTGGTGAGTCACAAGGATTTGGATAATGAACACGATGGTCTTCTAGTGTGCTACAACGTTAATCTGCAGTGGGAGAGAGAGAGAACTTCTAGTTTCTGATCCAAGGATGCCTAACACATTTTACACAGTCACCAAAAATATTGGGAAAGATGATCTCTAATGGCAAATTAGGTACCTATGGATCCTGGGCAGATTAGCTAAGGGAACCTGAGGATTACACTGCTAGTCTTCAGTGCTTCAAATTCCACTAGAAAAATAATTTCTGCCATATATGTTAATATCCAGTAGGGTAAATTAGCCAGTTCTAGGCAATCACTGCCATATCAGTTTAGCAATCCCTACATTATACTGTAACTAGCAAGGCCAACTAACCTCCGTCTCATTTTTTGGTCCTTTGGTGAATCTGACCCTAAAAGTCTAATGTACTTATCTATGTGATTATTAGGACAACTGCTAATTCCCCTGCCCCCAGTGAACGAACTGGCTCAAATAAAGACTATTTTCAGGCTGTGCTTGGCATCCTGCCTCCTGGCCCTGCTATAGTCTTCATTTACTCCCACTGCTGCTCACACAGTTATGGAATTCAAATCTTCATTCCTGTAAAAATTGTTCACAGTTCTTCATCTTTCTTGGAAAACTTAGTATTGCATGACATGACTTTCAGCTTCATAATGCAATACTTGTAAGGAGGAGAAGTCTAAGAATACAGCTGTATATGAAGTCATGCTGTTCCTAGAGCTAGAGACAAGCGAGAGACACTAGGTAAGAGATCTAATAAAATTACCTTGATTTCTTTAAATACAAGGACTCCCCACATTGCAGCAACAAGGCCAGGACCCTAAAGAATAAGATTCATTTGTACATTACAGCATTTCACTAAAATGTGCCGCCTTCTCATTATTGTTCTCAGGGTGGTTGAATTTTGTCTGGATAACAGATTTAGGCCTTTCCATTCCGTATAATTAACAGCACTTATGGCAAAAGCATAAACATCACTGAAATCTTTACGAAGTAAGACACAATAAAATCTTCAAGAAGGGCTAAAGAGGCAAGAGACTATTTTTTTCAGAGAAGGCACAATTTATTTCTAAATTAAACTGTGGAGTCTGCACTGGCTGTTATAAGTTCTTTTAGTAGGCTCCAAACAATAGGCCTCACTTTAGTCCAAACTACAGTCCACAATGTTACCACATTTCAGAGGACTATTCAGGTTTATTGGCAGCTACCATGGATATTCCCAACATTTCCTTCATTAGCATGACTAACTAGTTGGACAAAGTTTGATTTTATCACTCAGTATGATATCAAGAGACAGGAACGTAATGAATTTCCTGTATAGCAGGCATCTGGACAAAGCAAAGCCAGCCAGATAGATAAGTCAGGAAAACTACTGATTATCTGTGATGTTGTCGTACAGATTTCCTAGCTAACAGCAAACAGTGATACACAATAATAATTTCCAGGCACTCCTGGTAATATAGTTTTTCCCCTGTGGGAGCAATGATCTGAATTTTCATGACTGATGAGAAAATATTATCTGAATATGAAGCGAAAACTGGCTCTGTTAATGCTTCCCATTAGAGCTGCTCTCAGAAACACTTGACAGATGTTTGGACAGTGATCTTCCTCTCTTCATCTTCAGTACCGCTGATAGGACACACATTTAGGCCAGCAGGAAACAGTGTCTCATGCTGAATGTATTTGTGGGTGTTGTTTCCTAGTGAAATTGCCAACTATTATTTGAATAATAGCTAAGGCGTTACTTCACTTTCTAGATAACGTACGTTGCGAGAGGAATGCATTTTAAAAATGAAACAAATTGTTAAAGGGATGTGATGAATAGCTGTCTGAAATTCTCTCTAGGATGAAGGAAAGCAGCAGTTGCGAACCTGTGGTCCAGATAGGCAGTTTCTCATCAGTGCTGTCCTTAAATTTTTCATGTCGTCATTTTATATCCTTGCCCTCTAGGCATACTGATAACTGAGTTACTGAAGCTGCTTTCCATTAATCCTTCAATTTCTAATTAGAATGATCCCAAGACTTTTTTTTCCACTGCATACTGCAGAGTTTATTCTGATTTACTGCATCTTGAGGCAAAGCTTAATCCATATTAATGTTCTTTCATTAGATTGCTTCCAAAATACAGCTGTTCAGCAAAACTTTGTTTTTGGTATTTATGAACTCCCATTTGCCAGAAGTTATCCACCTTTGCAGCACCATCTAGTAGATTGGCAAGAAAGTAAAGGCAAAGTTTATTTTTACCTAGTGATGGAATTTATGCAGCTTCTGGAAATTAACAGTGCTTTAAAGGTACAGTATCATAAATAGGAATAACACAGACAAAACGGGCCAACCTATTTTTCCCTCATTGGCATAAGAACATTATTTTCAGCAATACATAATCTGTTCTGCATGTTCAAGAACTGTAAAAAGAAAAAATACCTGACTTAACTAAGCAAAACGACTGCAAGAGGATAAAAATCGCAAATGAAAACATCCAGAACAAAATGTACTTGCTGGGATGAAAGTATAAAACGTTTCTTCTTTTAATCACTTCAGTTTACTATTTAATATTGATATAGTTCTGGTTACAGAGCTTTGGATTTTACATAACCTAAAGACTCATGTTTTCAATTCCTCTGTTTTTTATACTTGGCATTCACCAAGATGGTGCTTGTCACAGTCATGTATGTTCCTAAAAAACCAAAGGCTAGCACAAACAAGCAGAAGAAGAGGCAATGTATACTCTTGACTAAAACGCTCTAGACGTCATAATTTCAACTTAATTCCACAAATGGGGGGTGGGGGGAGAACACTTCACTTCTAATTCTAGTCACAGATTTTGTTTTTTATATACTTACTGCAGTAATTATTGGAAAGCTGACCACAGCACTGAGATAGTGATTGGCTATGAACCAGCAGCAATTGGCTATTGCCCAAAGCACACCAGACACAAACCCTAGAAAAATAAATCCCAAACAAAAACATGCACAGCAAGGTATAGACAGCAATTTGTGGAACATTTACATTCATAGCATAATACAGAAACTGTATGTATGTATTTTAGTATGTTAACTACTTTAACAAGCTGGCTTTGATAATCTAAACCAAAGCTCAAAGGACAAAATCAGCTACTCCAACTGAAGCCGGAGCAAGCAAATTAATTAAAGTTCACAATTTTCTGGGCAAACTTTAATTAATTAATTAAAGTTCACAATTTTATGGGCAATGTGCTCTCTACTCTCGCAGAGTCAGTTTTTGAAAATTCACCGTATGCGATATCATTTTGTTCTAATTTCAGGTTAGAAAAAAATTTATCATTGTTTCTTAACGGTAATTAATTAACCTAATAGGAGCGATCTTTCAAAAGAGACAAAAAGTCAGATGAGGAGACTTGAAAGGTGAACTACAATTCCAACACATAGCTTGAAATAATCACTGCAAAATGGTCAGAAGTAGTAATTGAAATTAATTGCTAATTTAAAAAACAGTCATACCTGGCAATATGGCTTGGGGATAAACACTAGGTTTATTTTTCCTGACTACACAATAGATCAAAAAGTAGACAGTACTTGTAAGAAATATTCCACTGAAGTGTGCAAAAACATAATCTAAATCTGAAAGAGAAATTACAAAATTATATTAATTTAAAACATCAGCTATTAATTTTAACTAAATTTATTTCACCGATAGTCATAGACAAAACCGCATAAGGTGCTACCGCTAACAACTCAAATTCAATTGTGATTGTGACTAATACAGCTGCCAGTCTGACTGTGGATGGATTTAGTTAATCACACATATATTAAACATGAATTAACTGCTGCATTGACCCCAGGATTTATCACAAGCTTTTATGCATTTTTGTGAGTTGTTCTTTTTGGAACTCTATTAGTCAAACATTTTATTTATTAAAAACTAAAGAAAATCCTCAGATGAGGCCACAAAACTGAGGTGGGGATTTTACATAGTTACATCCTCTCCTGACCATCTACATTTGTATTCCTGGATATAGCCTTGTTCCTTTTCTGTACGTTTAAGGGCAAGACAACTGCATGTACTGTGTAACCTAAACATGGCACAGTTTTGTCCTGTTTTTTATCTTGAAAAACGTATCACAATTTTGACCACTATGATCACTAACAATAATAAATCCTTTATGGACTTGGTATGTGCTAAAGAGAATATTTCCAATATGGTGAAGCAGAAGCATGTAGCAAGGTGATCTCTATCTCCTTGGAGTTGTAAATCCTCAACAGGAAAGGCAGCTACAGTAATGATAACTCTGTTTTGTCTAGCTGGGGAATATATAAATTGCATTATTCAAGAGAAATCGTATGTGACATAGCAATTTCTTAATGACAACATTATGCGGTTTCAGCAATATGTTGCTCTTGAGCTGCTGCTGGTATTACCTGGTAGACTATACAATAAATCTTAAGGAAAATGTTTCTGGGGAAATGTTGTTTGAAACTTGCAATTAGGCTTATGTTAAAAGGTTTCCATTTCAAAACCTACAGGTTTTAATTACTTACGTTGTTATGTATCTCTTCTGCTCATCAATTATGACAAGCTTCTCCTCTTCCTTTATTGATGTACTAATTAGGCAATTGGTACAGCTTGTGCCCTTGTTTACCTCATGTTCCAGGCATATGAGCTTTGTATTTTGAGAACGCTAGCTATGTTTCGGAAGGCACTAAACACTATGAGTTAAGTATGGTATCCTCCGGGCTGTTTCTCACTGTTCTTTTGACAGTGTAATTCACCTCTGGGAAAAAGGGAGTACTAGTACTGTGATTACGACAACATATAACATAGTGCAGAACTGGTAAGTTGCCGTGGTATATTTCCAGGCATATCAAGAATTTCACTCTGTGCCTTTACGAAAGCAGGGGACCACCATATACTGATGAAATAAAGTAGAAGTGACCTATTAGCCTTTACCAAATTGACTTGCTCCTGTGTATATAGTTTCATTTCTTCTTCCATGGTCCTTGATGTAAAGTACTGGTACAAAACTGGAACCGTAGAGTATTCCAGCTACTACAGCCAGGCTACATCCTCTTTAAAAAGAGCAAAAATCAGAGAAAATAGCCTTGCGTTAATTGGGGAAGTAGACAATACACTTAAGACAAGTCCAGTATTGCAGTTAAAGACTGTGTATCATATGAAGATTGCTAGCAACACTATAAAAATAATACATTTTAGCACATTTTTATTTTCTAGGGTAGAAATGGTTCAACGTAGTAACTTAGTTTTCCTATACTTTGTGGCCAAGTAACACAGACAATTCCTGCCCAAAGAGTCTGCAGCCTAAATTAATGACAAGAGAAATCAACTAACTAGGATTTCCTAAATGCAGAGCTAGCAGAAAACGAACAAAAATATAGTTCAAATGCTCCCACCGTCAGCTTCACTGTTGCAGTCTATATATTCTTTATAACTATTCCCAGGTTCATTGCCTCCATGGTCCCCTTCTCTGCCTCTACATCGTTGTGTTCTTCACTGTCTCCACTCCCCACACTGGCCCCTTGCTAGCTACTTGCTTCCACCTTGGAGCACTTCTGCTGTCTCCTTACCATACTGCCATGCCTTCTCCAGATGTATTCACTCGGAAACCACACCTGGAAGCATGTTATTAGCATAGGCTCCCTCTATGCTGGAGTGCTAATCAACCAGGTGATAAAACACAGCTCTGTAATTACTTAGTTGCTATTGCTATTTACTTTGCAAATGTTGTTCTTTTGTACTAGTAACTAATACTTACTCGATAAGGTAAAGCACACTCAATAGTGCAAAGGAAAAAAATCTAATAAATTGAGCAGCTATTCATATATAGATATGCACACTAGACTAGTACTTTAAAAACTGTTAGTACATGACTGTGCTAGGAAAACCACAGGACACAAATTCTGCTCTTCCTCTGTGTTCAACTACTTTGTCTGACTATTTGGTCTGCAGCAGTGAAAGAACTGTTCATAACTTACATGAGTCTTTTTTTTGCTGGAGAGAGTCTGTTCACCCATGAGTCATCAGAGGTATCTTCAGAAACATTAATAGACTGCAAAAAACCAAAAGTTTTCACTCAGGGTTTTTTTTTTTTTAAATCTCAAACATTGTATTAAACAGAACAGTTTTGATCTAAGAAAATAAAATTAAAATGGAAGGAAAAACAATAGGAATTTACAGAAATACTCTGAAGAAATAACAAAATAATAATTGGATCTACCTACCTCAAAGTTTGCAAGTATGAGTTTGGATATGGATTTCGGGTTTACTACATAATAGAGCACTCACTAGCATTTTTTTTTTAAATCTGCACGCAGGTAGATCTGACTTTCAAAACTCGTCCTTCTTTAAATTTGATGAATGATTTAATCTATAGATTTTATTTATGATGTGTTTTTGCTTTCTGTCGACAGCCCTGGTGTTACTATCAGAATATTAGGACTATTTGCAAACAGGGAAATTAACACTCTTGTCTGCAGCATAAAGAAATTGCAACATCCCTTTATTCTAATCCTGCAACCAGATTGTCTTCTGTGATTTGCTCTGGTAAACTGGGACCTCTGCTGAGCATTGAGCACAGCTAGAAAACTCTGAGGGGCTCTCTGTTCAGGTAGCAACTGAGTTTTGATGCATCACTGACCTACAAGAGTAAGGTACAATGGTAGTAGGAGCCTACTGTTCTCCAGCTCTTGTTGCATACTTAGGGCTCCCGAAGGAGCAACAGCCAATCTGGCACCCCTCCTTGGCTTCCAGCCTGTGCCACAGCTGATGCTGAGAACCAGCAACTCTTGACAGTCTTCTGGCTCTGTAATGTGGCAAAAATCTGGTGGATAAGAGTAACACACCCTGTTGCCTTTCATCTAAGCACCCTCCTAGTTTTACAGTTAAGTTTTAATTAAAATTGCTTCCTATTTTCAGATAGGGAAGTTATACACTCTGTCTTTTATATAACCTCTGTCATAATGAAAAAGGACTTCTAAGCCATTTAAAACTCACAATAGAGAAAGAACACTTGGGAAAACGTTTTCTGTTGCTCACATTCAACTGGATATACAAGATCCACAAATTAAATACAATCAATGCATATTTATGTAGCTTTATGTAGTCTACCACAAATCCTAGCAAATCTGGTTAACATTAAGCAATTTTTTTGTTTTTAAATGGATAAGTACTTTCACTGCTGTAAAATAACAACTGTAGAATACTTACACTTTCTCTCAGTAAAGGCGTACTTTCTAATGAAGCTGAAGAACTCTGGACTTCAGTTTTTATAAAAAGAAATATGACGGCACTCAGAAGAGAAAAATACACCAATAAATACCACGTCAGCTCATAAGGACAAAACATTTACTGTCCAGATACAAAAGTTATATTTGGAGGCATACTACTTTATTTTCATTATTGCCTTAGAGTCGCTTCAATATATTTTAAAAATACAATTGCTTTTAACAGTGTTAACAAACAACTTAAGTGAAAGTAAGTAAATAAATTAGTCTTTCTATCACTTTATAGATCTCTCTTCCATGTAATGGGATTGAAATGTCTCCTTTTTACAGTGTGTAGTTACAACCACATGCTAACAACAGTTGCTTTAGTTAACAGTACCCTTTCGTACTAAACCACACATACAATGGAACATCTGCATGAAAATTCTGTATGGAACAACTTAAACCTGCACAGAATTGGCTCTGTACCCAAGGAAAAATGTTAGGTTTTAGTCTTCTATCATAGGAGGCTGAGGGGAGACCTTATGGCTCTCTACAACTACCTGACAGGAGGTTGTAGTGAGGTGGGTGTCAGTCTCTTCTCCCAAGTAACAAGTGATAGGACGAGAGGAAATGGCCTCAAGTTGCGCCAGGGGAGGTTTAGATTGGACGTGAGGAAAAATTTCTTCACTGAAAGGGTTGTCAAGCATTGGAACAGGCTGCCCAGGGAAGTGGTTGAGTCACCATCCCTGGAGGTATTTAAAAGACGTGTAGATGTGGTGCTTAGGGAAATGGTGTAGTGGTGGACTTGGCAGTGCTAGGTTAACGGTTGGACTTGATGAACTTAAAGGTCTTTTCCAACCTAAACAATTCTGTGATTCTATGACTTTATATGCGAGTGAGGGAATACTGGTCCTACAGGGCCTCAAGCGTATGTGGAAGGAGAAGGGGTATTGCTCAGTGATGCTCCAGCACACTAAGTGAATAAAATGAAGAAGAAAGGGTAACATTACTACTTGTACCCCCAGTTCCAGTAAATCAGGTAAATATGTGTAATCAGAACTGGCAGGATCTGTTTTTTATTTTTATGCAAGACATTTTAATGATTTAGGAATTTATTCTTATAGCTGTAAACAGAATGTCTCCGTTTGAAGAGTGATCCATCTGCTGAAGGAATAACAATGGATATAAAAGGATGTCAGCTTCCTCCAGAGGGACTAGGCAAACATGCACAGGTTCCACACAAGAGGCTAAAATGAAATACATGCTTCTGAGCTCTGTAGAGCAACATACACAGGCTTTGTGAAGTTTGCCAGAAAAACATGTTTGGTCAGGATCTTTTTCCCTGTTGATCACTTCTCCATGATATCTCAGAAACAGGCAGGAAGCAGATGGTGAGCTGAATGAATTCATCAGGCAGGAATAGCAGTACTGTTACTATTTTGTGAGTACCTCGCAAAATCATGCGCTACATGTAACAGCAATGGGCAAAAAGCTGCAGAATCTTAGGAAAGAGGAAGACTGGAAGCAAAATTCATTAATCTAAGACAGCAGCTCTCTCCTAGCAATCAAGAATGGCTTCATCATCTCCACGTTCTTAACACCCTTCTTTCTTAAAAGCATTATGTACATCTGCTGTTTAGCACACTTACGGCAAACCTACTGCCCCTGGGATTTAGGGCCACTGTTATGTTCCTAGAAAGACCTTCCTGGCCACCCAGTTGGAAAGCAAGAACACTGCTACATAGCAAAGACCCTCTTTCCTCTGTGTTTGGACCAAAATGTGCACTCATACAAATAATAAGCAAAAAATAAGAGCAGAAGTCCTTCTGAAGATCCCAAAGTAAGCCACTGTTTGGGAATTGTTGTAAGCGTGGCTTAAGAGTTACAAGACAGGGAGCTATTACCCTGGTATCAATACAGGCTGGGGGATGAAGGGATTGAGAGCAGCCCTGCCGAGAAGGACTTGGGGGTACTGGTGGATGAAAAGCTGGACATGAGCCAGCAATGTGCGCTCACAGCCCAGAAGGCCAACTGTATCCTGGGCTGCATCAAAAGAAGCGTGGCCAGCAGGTCGAGGGAGGTGATTCTGCCCCTCTACTCTGCTCTGGTGAGACCCCACCTGCAGTACTGCGTCCAGCTCTGGAGCCCTCAGCATAAGACAGACACAGGTCCAGAAGAGGGCCACGAAAATGACCAGGGGGATGGAACACCTCTCCTATGAAGAAAGACTGAGCGAGCTGGGGTTGTTCAGCCTGGAGAAGAGAAGGCTTCGGGGAGACCTTATTGCAGCCTATCAGTACTTAAAGGGGGCTTATGAAAAAAGATGGGGGCAAACTTTTTAGCAGGGCCTGTTGCGACAGGACAAGGGGGAATGGCTTTAAACTAAAGGAGTGTAGACTAGATATAAGGAAGAAATTTTTTACGCTGAGGGTGGTGAAACACTGGCACAGGTTGCCCAGAAAGGTTGTAGATGCCCCATCCCTGGAAACATTCCAGGTCAGGTTGGACGGGGCTCTGAGCAATCTGATCTAGTTGAAGATGTCCCTGCCCACGGCAGGGGGGTTGGACTAGATGACCTTTAGAGGTCCCTTCCAACCCAAACTATTCTATGATTCTATTAAGGACAAGAGATAACGCAAAGCCTCTGGCTTTTCATGGGCCCCAAAGGATCTGGGAAGGGGTCCTATGGTCCTACGTAGAATGTATTCTACAGTTAAGAGGAAGGATTTGTACCCCTGACTGAGTGAAGTCAGATCGGAAATCTCACAGAGGTTTTCTCACCAAGATTCTTCTAGTCAGTTTTTCCTCTCACAAGATTTGGGGAAAGTGAACCATTTGAATAACCTAGCTAGGAAGACAATCAGTGTGTATCATTGCTTTGCCTTGAACATGCCTACCAGCATAAAAATACATTTCTGTGTTTATGAATAACGATTTCACCACCGTACTGGATATCAGGTATGTTTCTATTCTGAAATACAACACTGACCAGCTAGGTATGGATAGCTCATGAATTCTGCAGTAAATCAAGTTGCAAGAAATACTTCAATACATTTGCCTTCTATTTAATTGTTCCTGTGGTTATTAATATATATTTCACATTATAGAAGTTTATTATAAGAATAAATTTTTACCTTAATAGTGAAAGTCCAGCTCCAATATAATTTAAGATTGGTCTTGATACCTCTTCTGGGTCAATTCCAAACCAACCAAACCTGGAATATTTAACCAGTTTCACTTAGTTGCACTGGCTGCATACAAATAGTTAAATTATAACCCAGCCTTGGAAATCTTTACTCATGTAAATAATTCTTCTTAAGTTTATATTTGCAATATTGGATCGGTGCTTCAGTTGGCTTGCAAAAAGCTACGTCTACTTTACAAAAATAATCTTTAAACTAATTTAATTTATATTGATTTTTTTTTAATCTGGGTATTTAAAAATTGAAGTTAATTTAAATTATTTTATCAGCCCACATTGTAGAAGAAAAAATACAAACAGTGTACTAGTTTTACATTAACAGATACATTATTTATTCACTCAATTATGTTAATGAACATCACTGGGCATTCTTCTTCCTATTGAGATAGAGGAAACATGAAAAGATAAAATAATTAACCTGAGTACTTTCCACTGAGAGGGAAAAAGATCTTACATATATGATAAATCCTCTTTATTGGTGATCGTGTTGTCATTGCAGTTATTAATGAAGAATTGGCAAAATTAATTATGTATGACTTAAGACTTAAACATACCCACCTTGAACTTGCCCAACCTGTCAGCAAATTAAAAGAAGCCCATATCAAAAGACCAAGAGCTAAGCCAACAGTTTTAACAATAGGGACAACTGTAACATTGCCTGAAATACAAAAAAAAACAAAATTAAAATCAGTTAAAAATTAGACTGCGATCTCGTATATTTTTGTTTTAGATTCTGTGACTGTTCAGAAGGCAGAAAAATTTAGGCAACTACAAGGTGGTAGGAATTAGTGTTTTTTAAAAATACATACATTGAACACAGACTTTTCCTCAATACCATTTTTAAAGTTATTTTTGGTGTGAATTTGCTGCTTATAAAATAAACATAATAAAACAATATTTGCTATAAGGGTACAGCTCCATTAATATCGAGACTTTAAAAAGCCAAATAATTACCAATTAACTACTACCTTATACATGGAAAAGTTTTTGTCACTGGTTTTTTTTTTTTATGAAGAGTGAGGATTACTCTGTGTTTCAAGAAATAGAATCTCTTTATCCTTACCTGTAGCCCACACGAAACCCCCAACCATAGCCAGAGGCCAAAACCGGGGGCAATTCTGGATTAAATTGACCACCAAAGAAACTATCCATATGGAGGCACAGAGAATCCACTGGAAGAACATGCCTATGGAAAAACCAAATGCACACAGTAGAGAACTTGTAGAATATTGCATGTGTGAATGTCTTAACATACTATGTTTTAGATAAAGTAGTACAGAAAGAATTGAAAGGTGGCCACCTCCTTTGTGAATTTCAGGGTTATGTTACAATATATTCAAAAGATGTATTTTAGGGTGAGGTGTTATAATTCTGTCAACCTTTTCCTTACCATGCATTCTTTATACACAGCTGCAAAAGACACTTTGCTGGACGAAGTGTACAAAGCCCTGATTCTCAAACACATGAAAATTTTGACAGGCTTCTGACAAAGAGGATATTCAGTTACTGCAAACTTCTCCCATCACCCTAGTAGCAGCTAACATAGATGACTGCACAGGACAAAACTACTTCAAAGATCAGGGCTCAGGTTTTTCCACTAATCCAGGACATTGAGGATGATAAAAACTTTGGAGAGATCTCTTCCACCTTTGTAGATTCTCTAAGGGTCAGCTAGGCAGACCAGTTAACTTTATGCCAGCTGAGCTAAGACTTTTGCTTTAAAGTCTAGCCTTGCCTTGTTAGGGCCATATTTGGCACAAAGAAGAGAGAGAGGTTATATTCAGCCTGTAATGCAGATATTATTATTGCAGTAACATAATGGCAGATTTATTCATCTAGTGATCTGATAATTGACTATGCTTCATATAAACGTGCAAATACAACATGAACCTAGTACAGTAAAGTAATAAAATTCCAAGTAGGAAATAGAAGCGATTGTTTCTTCTTACCGAGTCACCAGATGAAAGTATTAAAATTTCAATTTGTGATTGTTTTTATGTTAGGTCCACAACTGAAAGGCAACACTCCAAAGTCCAACAACTTTTACAGTATAAATAACACTGTATGTATTTGAGAATCCCCACAAGGGTAGAAGAAAGGACATTTCACTTTCTATTGCGAAACGCTCATGAAATGCACATCATCACTGTTAAAGTGCACAACAACACATAAAAAGGCTCTTCTAAAGATTTGCCACTTTGTGGACCAATACATTATTGCTTTATACCCTAACAATAGCAAAGAAAATTAAAACATGCTCTATGGATTAAGGCTGTGATGATATTTATAACTCCAGCTATAGAAACTCCCATATTTGCTGGTAAAATATTATTCCTATTAGCAAAAATACCAAAACCAACAAAAGAATATAAGTAAGTTTACCATCACCAGTATCAAATTTCTTAACAGGCACAAAGTTTGTCCCAAATAGAAGGACAGCTACTGTGGAAGAGGTAAAGCCAACAGCTAGATCTGTTCCATTGCTGATGTTAAAGGTACTGTAAGCTTTCCCGATGTTCATCTTTGTTCTGAAGGTGCCTCTTTTTGTGGAGTTGTATTGCTGTGGGTCCTGACAGATTCTGAAATGAGAGTGTGGAATTAAACATGTGGAATATTGAATAACACCAACCTAGTTCAGAAATCTGAAACTTAAAGGACCCTACTTATCAATCTCTCAAAAGCTGGAAAGAACTGCAAAGTATACTGTAGAATCCCATGAAAAGCTGCCATAAAACGTGAATGAAGTAACTTAAGAACAGATGCACAAAAAAATCACTATTGTGTTTCATAATCAGCTTCACAGAAAAGCGTGTCTGCAAACATACAACAGCGTGAATGTAGATATGCACTCAAAGGTTATGATGACTTGAATCTGTGAGGCCTGTGGGAAGTCCTGATGCTTTAGGGAGATGCTCTATCAGAATATTCCTTATTCCAGTAGCCAAAGTGGGGTCACACTGGTGTGTAGTAAAAAAGCAGGGGTTAGACAAAATCTTAATTGGCAGAAGAAGCTATAGCAATTTGCAGCCCCACTGCCTAGAAGTCAGGAACAGGCACAGAGATTCTATAGATGCCAGAGTGGGATCAATATAGGGTCATAAGGAAACCACAGGGATTGCTCTAGCTGATACAAAACCCGAATAAAGGCTCATTTTTTTCCACGGGGAACAAAGGGAGAAGCTGCCTCTAAAGTTTCTTTATTCATCCCACATAACTATAAGAAGAAAGATTTTTTTAATCCCATAATACATCCCTTTTTTTTTTTTAGTGGGAGATTAATCTTGAGGTTACACCCAACAGAAGTACCACATATATGCTTTTGTTATGGAATATGACTTTGACAGAAAACATGGCTCTAAGGACAACTGTAATAACATGATCTTTGCATACATAATCTTAACACCACACTTAAAAGACTACATATAAGAAAAGTGTTTGGAAATTTAACTTCAAATGGCAACAGGATACTTAATATGCTGAAAGTATAAAGAGGCATATTTATAGAAATACGCATGTAATCCTGTTGTCGAAGTAACGCTATTTATACCGAATCAAATGACATCCTAATGCAGTTTGACATTCCCCAGTGTAGGTAGACTAGCTACTGCCCGGAGGAAAAAAGCTGAAATAGGGTGGTGGAAATTTTGCCAAGTCTTGTAAGGGGTGCTTGTGACTACACCCTCCACACAAAAGGAAGAGCTGAGCTGCTGTACATTCTTTCATCTTATTTTACCTTCTCTGGAGTCCTTAGGACACCGAGAACTGCATCTGCTGAGGTTGTGCTTTTATCTAGAGCTTCAGCAGGGCCATCAGTGTTGGCTGAAATTAATTATTTGCATTAGCAGGTGAAAAGTTCAATTCCACAACTAATATAACCATTTAGTTTCTATAATTTTTCCCCTCGAAAGATGTCAGTATATTTTTAACTTGAGTACTTAGGAAAAGCACAGATGACATTTAGAAGACACATCATGAAAGTACAACAGCACAGGTATTTCCATTTATCTTATTATCTTTTCCTCCTTCACACTTCATCTTTCTTGCCTACTTAGAGGATAAGATTCTCCAGGAAGTTTTCACCATATTTAAGACTCTTTGATAAAGTATGTTTTACCTGGGACCTGTAGACACTGAGCAGTGCAAATAATAATGCTGGAATTTCTTCAGAGACTGACTTCACAGGCTAAGAAACACTGTGACACCACAAGATTGCATTAAGATAGGCTTACATCAGCTGTCTTCATTCCATCAAACTTGACTCACTGAGTGAATAAATTTAATTCATTTAGTGGACAAGTAAGGCATAAGAGCTTGCTTTTGCACAGGAAGAACTTCATGCTGTTAAGGACATGGAAATAAAGCTGATTACACTGCACCTCTACGAATGCAGGACTCTACTTTGGCCTTTAAATAAATAAGTCATTATGCAGGTGAAATACTAAGAACCTTTCAAATTTAAAGTGGTTTATCAGCCTTTTTGATTTTGTTAACGTACAGAGAAATGTTACTTTAAAAATATTTCAGTTTTGTATCTACTAAGAGAAAAATCTGTGTGCTGTGGGGCAATATACTTTTCTGCTTGCTTTTTATCTTCCAAAAATCTCTATATTGTGCACACTGAAGACTGTCGCACAACTGGAGAACCAGAATCATGACACCAAAAATGGAAAGGAAACACAACTTCCAATTAACCAAGGAAGAGTATGTTTCATTCAGACTGTTTAAAACTCTGTCACTTTCCAAGGTTTGGGGCACTTAGTCCCCAAATTTGGCTAAATTTCAGACTCAACTTTCAACTCCATTTTAATGCCTTCAAGAGAAAGCTCAACCAAACAAGGCCTGGAGCTACCTGCTCTAATGTCGATGATGCGCTGCTTTAAGCGGGGAGTTGAACTAGATGACCTCCAGAGGTCCCATCCAAGCTAAATTGTTCTATGATTGTGTGATCCAATGTCAAGAGCAAATAATGAACTGGCATACAGCATTAAGTTGACTATACTTTTTTTGCACATGCTTGCACATACTTTGCACTTCAGAGAATTCACTAAAAGCCTCTTCTCTACAATCCTAGGTATTGCCAGACCGACTTGCAGCATACGTGCCTCCAAAGGTTTATAGCTACCAAATGTCAAACCAGAAGGACTTGCTGCATGCAGCTGCTGAGATGTTAGAAGGTAGTGGTTGTACCTGAGACAACTGAAACTGTTGCTGTTACTGAAGGGGTTTTTTCACTAAGTAGCCCTTACTGAAGGGCACATCGGCGTTCCCAAGCCGCAGAGGAATTATAATGGAATTTTGTTGGCACACATTGCCCTTACCCTAACTTCACTGGTTTACCTCACTGGAAGGTTGTGTTCTGCATTTTCACTGTTTCCTCAGAAATATGCCACCATTTTCTTCCTTCGCACAGAGACACAACAAATTACGATGCTCACTTAATGCAATAGCAACACATTGCTACAGTCTCTGCAGACAGGCATGAAATCAAGAAGCCTGCCCTTGAGAGTTTCCATCTCAAGGTAGATCCACGCCGTTGTCAAGATCAGAAGGAAACTGTCTGTGCTAATTGAATGGGTATTTTTAGAGGCTGCATGTCACATTGGCTGTTTATTTGCATGTTTCTCTTATCATCTATTTGCCATTAAGGGTAGATACTTTCATCCTTATTTTAGGAGACTCCTGTCAGTCCCAAGGCGGCCCAGAGCAATGTCCTCAGGTGACACCGCGACCCCTGACTAGCTGCCAGAGAAACGTTTCTTCGCTTCCCTAAGATGAACACTTTCGAAAGACATTCTTCGGGCAGTAAGCGGTATGACGCAACAAGGGAAAACGCGCAGCTGAGCGCTCGACATCGGCGGACGCTGCTTCTCCTGTTTTCGCCAGCACGCCCGGGCTGCCGCAGGGCGGGCCCACGCTGCAAGCGGGACACGGCCAGCAG